AGGTCCAATTTATTTTTTGCATGTTGATATTTGAATATTTAGTATTATATCAAAACACAGTACAAATTAATAAAAATTACAAATATAATTCCATTAGTATCTTATAATACTAATAGCAGGACTGTAAAAAAAAATTATATAAATATAAAAATATTTGTAATTTTAAGTACAATGACACAAGGCGGACAAAGGGGGTATGATTTTAAAATTAACTATATATATATATATAAGTAAATTAATTAATTATTGAAGTTGACATAATTTATGTTGATTATTTTGGTTGTTAACATGTCAATTTGGCATCGCATTTATACTAAAATAAAAATATTGATATAGTAACGTGACTAATTATCACCAGACTTAAAAGAAACGGATGGTTTATTATAAATAAAAATTAAAATCAAATCAAATGGCATCGAAATGTGACTTATTATATTATTGTGTTCTAAAAGTAATGAAATATTTTTATTAAAAATTGTAAAAATAGTTTAAAGAATTGTGAATTTTTTTATTTTTTATTTTTTTATAAAATCATTTTTAAAAATACATATGAATGTATTTATTTAGTGAAATTGTTTGAAAAAATATTTTTTTATGACAGGTAAATAATAAATTGTATTTAATATATTAATTTGTTTGAAAAAATATAGTTTTGAAATTTTTGGAAAAACACACCCAACTTTTATCGTTAATAATAAAAATATATTATTTTTATATAAAACATTATATTTGGTAGCTATTTTACCTAAAAAAATAATAATAAAATTTACAATAGAAAAAACACCATTAGTTTTTTATTTTTATTTTTATTATCCAATTTGTAAGTATATTTTTCCATTTTTGTTGTCAAAATATAATTTTTTTTTATATTTATTTCCCTTTTAGTATATAATGACTTTACAACACATTATAAACTCTTATGATAAATTTACACACCAGAGTAAAAATAATTATTAGATTGTAAATTATTATTAAAATATACTTTTATCCGTTCAGTTAGAAAGCATACATATTTTTATTTTGGGATATTTAATTATAAAATAATTATTTCATTAGATACTCTATTTTTTTTCATAAATACTTTTACTTTACATCACATCATTACTTTTATACAAAAACCTAAGGACAAAAATATCATTACACTACTTTTATCTGTCCACTATAATTAAATACTATTATTTTTTAAATTTTGCTCTAAAAATAAAGATATTCTTCTTACTTGGACGAAGAGAGTAATATTTATTTTTTTAATGCACAAAAGAAATATTAAATTCATAAAAGTTTATGTGCAGGTTTATGAGCATATGTTTGCAAATAATAAATATTTTTAGATGGAATCATAATTATGAAATATATAATACTTACTTTTTTTCTCCTATATTCTGTCCATTATTTCTATTTCTTTGTCTGATCATTTTATTTATTTTAAAAAATATAATGATATATTTTTATTATATTTTAAAATTCATAATTTAAAAATTTTAATTATCATAATATTAATTTATAATTAATTTTATTATATTATAACCATCTTTATTAATACAGTTATTAAATACCCCATATGTCCTATAATTAAGTATTTATTTGTTTTTTGCACGAAATTTTAAAAATATTAGTATTATATTAAGATGTAGTATGAATAAAGTAGAATGACTAAAATAATCTTATGTGATGTAAATGTAACGATATTTGTGTAATATATTGTAAGTTGTAAGAGTATTTGTAATATTAGGTAAATAATACAATTACTAAAAAAGAAAATTAATACTTTGTTATAGAATAGACTAAAAATGAGAAAATGGATATTTTTGTTAAGTTCTGTTTGTTTGGGGGGTTTGAATTTTGAGTTGGGATATAAATAGTAAAAATTTTAAATTTGAATCGTTATATGATGCGATATAAATAGGTGTTGATGTAATATTTTGAATGTAAAATTAATTTTTAGTATAATATAAAAAATAAAAAATAAGTGTTTTAACTTGATATTTTTAAGAAAAAAAAAATAATAATTTATTTAAAATGCAATCGCACGGACAAACACACTCTAAAAAAGTAGGTATATTTTAATTTAGAAGTTTTGAAAGGGGCCCAGCTAGCGCGTGGACAGATAATCCGTGGCTCCCACGTGCGCCAATTAATCCTGATGGTGCAATACACCAAGACCAGTGGCTTCGTATTACCCCCACGTCAAATATTATTTTATTCCTACACATAATAAAAAGTCAAATCATTATCATCATCGATTCACTTTTTAAATTATTCTTTATATAGTTTTATATCTCTATTGTAATGATATTATTTCACTATGTTTTATATAATTAATATTATTGGTATTTCAAAATTTTAGAATTATATTTTATAATATAAATGTTATTTTTTAATAATATAATTTTATATAATATAAATAAAAAAATATATTTATTTATAATTAATTTAAAATTAATTTTATAAAAAAATAATTTTTTTAAATATAAATAAAAATATATTTTTATTAAAAAAATAAAAATAAAGGAGTTATAAGTGAATTTTGAATGTAAAATTTTAATTAAAATTAGATAGTCATTTATCTTTTATGGAATGGATAAAAACAAATAAAAATGAACCAATATGTGAACTGATAGAATAATATTTATTCATAAATAGTTTATAATATAGTACTCCCTCTGTCCGCTTTCAAATATCATATTTACTTTTTGCGTCATTATAATTAATATTAAAATTATATAATTTTTTGTACAATATCATTTTATTAGTATTATAAGACACTAATTGAAATATTTTTGTATTTTTTTCTTAATTTGTACCATATTTTGATATAATAATTAATATTCAAAGATCAACATTCAAAAAATAAATGAGACTATTAGAGCCGGACGAATGTAGTATAAAATACTCCATCCGTCTCATTGGAAGGGTGACATTTGCTTTTTGCACGTAGATTTTTGAATATTAGTATTCCCTTCGTCCAATTAGAAAATATACATATTTTTATTTTGGGACGTTCTACATATTTCATCAAATACCTTATTTTTTTCTCACAAATACCCTTACTTTACATCACATCATTACTTTTACACCAAAAAATTAGAGAAAAAATATCATTACACTACTTTTAACTACCTACTATAATTAAAATACTATTATTTCTTAAACACCGCGCCAAAAGTAAATGTTTACTTTGTATATGGACGGATGAAGTATTATATTGGATTGTAGTAAAAAAAAACAAAATACCCCAATTAGTATAATGTAATATAAAAGTAATGACATTTGTGTAATATAATGTAACTTGAAAGGGTATTTATTATGTTAGGTAGATACTACAATTACTAAATTAGGAAATGGTAACCTTGTTTTGGGACAGACGAAAATAGAAAATGGTAACCTTTCAATGGGACGGAGGAAATATTATTTTTTATATCACCAATATGAATTTTCATAACTAAATAAAAAATACTATCTCCGTCCGACTCTAAGCATCCCTTTATTTTTTGCATATTGATTTTTGAATATTAATTATTATGTGAAAATATAGTACAAATTAAAGAAAAATGACAAAAATAATTATACTAGTGTCTCATAATACTATTATAATGACATTTGTGCAAAAGATTATACAAATATAAAGATATTTTTGATATTAAGTACTCACTCCGTCCCAAAAGATTTGTCTTGTTTTTTCATTTTCGTCAGTCCCAAAACAATTATCTTGTTTCCTTATTTAGTAGCCGTGGTCCCTACTTTATAACAAAATTATTCATACTTTTCCATACTACCCATAATTATTACTCTAATATACTCTTTAAAATTCTTAAAAAAGCAAAGGCATTTTAGTAATTTATATTCTACTTTATACTCACTTTCAATTAAATACTATTATTCCTTAATTTCCGTGCCAATTCTCAATAAGACACTTATTTTGAGACGGAAGGAGTATAATGAATAAGAGAGTAATTCAAACTAAAAATATTAAACAAATGCGCACTTTTTTGGGGCAAAAAAAATTGTTTGGTTGATGGATTTTATTTATCTACTTCTTACTATTTATCATTTTTTTTCTAGAAAAATAATAAATAAATAATTTATTTTTAATATTATAAGAAAGATTAATTTACATATAAAATATTATATCAATATTTATTTATATAATACTCCTTTCATTCCACGGTATTTTATGAGGAGTGTAATTAGTAAATAATTAAGAATATATTAGTGAAAATAATTATCCTATAATATAAATAATTATAAATTAACATTAACATAACTAATTAGTTTAATTAAAATTTAAAAAAAAATTAAAAATTTAAAATGAGATTAAAGTGTATAATTATTTTCCAAAAAAGAAAAGTGATATGGAACGTGGGACGGACAGAAACGACAAGGAGAGAGTATTAAACAATTTATTCCCTCAGGCTCTATTGAAAATATCAAAAAAATCACAAGAATACATTCATCAAAATATTACTCTATCTGTTCCATATATCCTACAATAATTTTAAAATAAAAAATAATTAATTTTACTTTATACATCACATCATTCAAATAAATGTACAATTATCTAGCGTAAGATCAAAGGTTGAGATCAAAGGTTCAAATTCCGATACTCCAATTACATGATTTAACTTACCGGAATTTAGTTTGTAGAATATTATGTTCAATTTGATATTTATATAAAAATATATATATATATATATAATGTGATTTTTTTTAAAATAAATAATCTCAAATTAGTGAGAGAGTGTTTTTGTAAATGAAACCCAAATCCCTCGAACAAATACACACTAAAAGTTGACAAAATGTTGAGCCGTACAAAATGATGAATGGCCTGGCCTGTCTGATGCTAACAGAAAATTCCCTTTTGGGTAACCAGAAATGGTGCCTCCCAAAATAGGGACACCTCCTACACCTATACTTCCATATCTATAATTTGTTGGGAAATTCCATTCTCTCCATTATTTATACATTTCTTACATTTAATAAATAATTTATTGACCAAACTGTTCAAATAATTTACTCTCTAAATTAATTGTATACAATCAAAATAGTACATTATGAACATAAATAATTCTCCATTATTAAACAAATATTGCTACTTCAATGCATAAACCAGAACACCTCCACCAATTGCATATTCATTCTCAATTTTTCTTTTTTTGAAATAATAAAAATAAAAAATGAAAAACTAGAAAATATCCTGTCTAAATGAAGATTTGCAGTAAGTATATATCATGTGTCATTTAATCTAATAATATGCCTTAAATCAAAGGGTGTGCTTATTAGTATTATAGTAATTTGCTGACTATTACCTTCGACTAGGGTTTAGTCACTGCACTCAAATAGTAGCAACTGCACGTGCATACGTAGTTAAAAAACCCAAAACTAGAGTTGCGAATCATTACCCGAAGAAGCCGAAAAGAATTCGAGCAATGCGGATCAAGCGAAGTCAGCCGGCTTCCCAATTTTTATGTTCTGCTTGCCGAGGAAGTCCGTAATGGCATTCTTCTGCCAGCCTTTGAAACTCCTGCATCAATAGAAGATTTCAACGATAGATATGTAAGGGTTGTACACGTGTTTGTTTGTGTAAGAAAAGGTTACTTGTGATCAAGATGAGCTATAATGTCGCCTCCAGGGAAGGCCACTTGGGTGGCGTCGAATGCAACTTTGATGGCTTGTTTCCATGTCCCTCCAATGTCTTCCGGGGTTACTTTCGCCTTTGGATCTTTCGGTTCTTCCATTGGCAAAGAATATCCGGACAGGAGGTGGCCAACCCAAGTCCCGTCCTTCCTGAGGAACATAACTTTTTTAGAGATTGACAAAATAAATAATCAAGTGTGGTACAATTTAAATAGGTTAGTACAAGCTCTTGAATTTCAATTTTTTGGAACTATACATGTAACTAGAGATGATCCACCATTAACTATAAGTTTGAAATTTTATGCATTACCTTAGCTCCGGAAAAGAGTAGCATACTAGAAAATACGATATAGTAGTTTATCGATGTATTGACTCACTTTATTACATCCATGTGTCGTGGCACATAATGCCCGCCTCCAAGACCAAGAAGTACTTTCTTCCTTTCAGTCGAGCTGGATTGAAAAATAAACTTGTCTTAGGATTGAATTATCTAATTGAATTCACCGTTAGGTTCTTGCTAGAGCGAATTTCTATTAGAAACAAATTTAGATATATATATATATTTTTTATTCAAAACATCGTATTCAACAATTATTTTCACCCCAAACAAATCGAAAACAAGAACAAATATACAAAAGAACACAACCAGTAAGTCGAAGCATCAGAAATACTTCAAAGTTCAAACTAAGAATTCAATGTGTACCTGCTCCAAACTCCGACAGCAGGACTTTCTCCGAAGCCAAGTCCTTCCCAAACTAACTTCAACAATAAGAATGATCACAGTCAAAATAAAATTCAAGAATTGCAGAATTTGCAGCATCAATGACAAAAATAGATTATCATCAGGTGTGTTCTTTAATGGGATTCTTCCCAAAATCTACTATTCTATCAAATTTTATCCCCGAAAAAACATCAAATCAAACACTTATTTTTCATTTGTTATATTATACTAAAAATTAATTTTACATTCAAAACATGACATCAACACCTATCTATATTGCATCATTAAACTATTCCAATTCAAAATTTTTACTATTCAAATCACACCTCAAAAACCAAACCCCCAAACAAACACATCCTATATGTAATGGAATGATTATGATTATCCCCTTCTTTATTCAGCTTTTCAGTAAATTATTTGCTAACATTGCTACAAAACAGCCCAACTAGAGATAAAGGGTACAGCTCGGAATTCGGAAAGGCAGTAGACACACACAAGGATATTGATGCAACTAACTATAAAAATAAACATGTAAACAATATCCACGTACACCCTAGCGATGAAACATTTCCATCAATAAATTGTACACACAATATTTTGTAAAATAAATCAACAATATTAGGTAAGTTTGGCAGTAATATATACTCAACTAGAGCAACGACGCGAGCAGCATCCTCTCTCCCCCAGTAATCTTGTGTGCTGCCTACACAAAACACAGTAAACACAGAGTGAATCTGGCTTATATTTCCACTTTCAAATCGGTTATATATATATATCATTAAATATGGATGTAAAACATGCATATGACTTAGTACTGCAATGTTTAATCCATTGTTTACTAGATACAGGAAAAAGATATTGCTGAAACAGGTGAAAGGCCTCGAATAGATTTACAATTAATTACTGGACAATGAACACAGGCAGTTCAAGAATCAATCCTTTTGCTTTTGCACATTACAGTCAAATGACCAAATTTCAGACCTCAATGACAAGTGCAACAGTTTGATGTCATCACAAATACACAGTTTGTAAGTTTGCATAATATCACAAGAATGTATATCAAGCAAGAACTCAAACACAGTGATAGAGAGCAAGCAGAAGGGAAGCACTTTGAAGAAATCCATTATTGGAAGTCTTGGTGGAATATAAATTACCTATCTCAATAAACATCGTTGGCGTTGTCGTTATAGGTCCATGATGAGTAGCCTCCAATGTTATCTGCATCGAATAGAATAACAAAAATGATATCGACCAAAGCGTCAAGGTAAGCAGTTTCATAAATCCAAATAATTTGGTATAAATCACAAAATAGTAGCGATACATTATGAATCACAACTGAAGAAAAGACATGAACACCTCAAATTCGGGTACTAAATTGTGAGATTCAGCAATTTTCTGCAATAGAATCAGCCATGGCCCCATACGCGGACAAGGAGGTCCTGCCCATCCTGGTTTTCCCCCTTGTGGCAGAACATCCCCATCCTTCAAATGAGGCACGCCTGTTAAACTAATTTACGACCGTTAACGGCAGAAACAAAAACTGCAAACCAATAATAAACCTACAACATTCATACAAATTCACGATAAATCATAACTGTACCGTAAATTTAGGGCTTACCTATCGGATGAATAGTGAGCGCCGGGCGAGTCGAAGCGGCGACATGTTTGGATAAAAATATCATCTCCGCCACCGTCTCTCCGGTGGCTGCTTCCCATCTCGAATCGAGATTATCTTCCACAATTATCGATTTGTCATGCTCCAACAATCGAAGAGAGCCGCGGCTATTTCTGAAACTTCTGATGCCGCCTTCCAGCGTCGGACCTTGCTCCCATCCAGGCATCGCCAGCAGCGCCTTCGCCGGATTGATCGACGCCGGATCGGCGGTGGTCGCCACCACCAAACTCGCCATTTTTCTGTTGATCTGCGTAGAATTAAGAACTGAAACTTCACCTGAAAACTGTAAACGTATATTTATACACACACGTGTATACGTATAAATACCGTATTTTATTTAAAAAAAAATAAAAAAAAAAAATTTGTTGCTGCCCAGGATCGAACTGGGGACCTTCAGTGTGTAAGACTGACGTGATAACCACTACACCACAGCAACTTGATATGCAGTTGTTGATTATCAAACTATTTACCTTTACAAAACTAAATTATTTATTATTTATTTTATTTTTAAAATTGATTTATGCTGAGGCGTCTATGGAGCGGCGAGTATGTTGAAGCCCTCGGCCGTACGGAAGCTCTCATTAATGGCGCCGAAGCCTCAGCGCTACACTCACTGTGAGTTTTTGGTTTTCCTTCGATGCGGAGTGGACAGTTTCTTCTTTTTTGTGGTAGTTAAATCTGATTGGTTTTGGCTTCCGAACAGTTGCGGATACTGCAGCAGCGAAGAAACCTAGAACTATGACGACCGGCGCGGCGGAGTCCGAATCGAATCCGATGAAGGATGCTTTTTCTAAATACGCGGATTATCTGAATGCGCTGGTACATTTTCACGATTTTTGGTGATTTTTATTCGCTCGTTTGGTTATATTTTTTTTTATTTTTTATTTGGCATGTATGAGTTTTCAATTAAGTGTGGTATGTTTTTCAGCTTCAGATGTATCATTTTTTTGGGTATATGAGCATGTTATTCTCCCATTGTTTTGCTGGTTTTGTATGGTGCGAACTAATTTTAGTTAAATGTCTTTATAATTCAGAAATTGTTCCTGTCGGTTGGGTAGGGTAGTGCATTAGTTAAATATGTATGCTAGGAAAATTAGATGCTCTAGATGTTGGTTATTTGTGCTAGTTGAATGTAGAAGATTATTAGGTGGTATCCATTTCAATTTTGAGTATTTACATTATATTGGTGTTTATATGACGTTCTCAACTTTACGGTGATGTTCACTCACAAACACACACACATGTAAACATGTAGAGATGATTTTGAACTTAACTATTTTGTTAATTTGGTGGTTCTTGGTTCATTTGATTGCAGAACGAGAAGAGAGAAAGGGTCGTGAAAGCAAGCCGGGATATAACAATGAACAGCAAAAAGGTCATATTCCAGGTGCATAGGTAAACATTATCATTATTAGTTATTTACTGTAAATGTATGAGGCTTGATTGACTTTCGGCTATGTTTTTTCGTTCATCTTTGCATATAGATATGTTGCTTGTGAAGCAGTAATCAGATGTTTTACTTTTCTCGGAAAGTGCTTTTGCGTTTAAAAGAAGGATAAGAAATGTGGAAATTATGTTTTCCAAAACTTTACTTTGTAATACAATGCGACTTGTCAAATGTATTGGGTCATATGGGATTTCCTCGTTCTCTTCCCCACCTCTATTTCACCAAAAAAAAAAAAGAAAAAGAAAAAAAGAGAAATTCACGCATCCAAAAATTGGAGTGTGAAGTGCAATTCGATCAATTGTTTAGAGGAATTCATAGTTTTATTATCAATTAGAATGAGTTACAGTTGGCTCTTGTTCAAAATACACAAAGCAAGTTATAATGGATAATCTATTAAGAAATGGAAGCTCTATAGATTCTTTTGTGTTTTTTAACTTAAGACATGTCGTTTGTTATTAGCTTCTTGTAGCATCCTTATGTCTAATGTTCGCTTTCCATAAACAAGTTTGTTCATCATTATTGAAGTATCGAGAAGCGGCTGAATGTTTTGCGCTTTGTGAACAATAGAATTAGTAAAGACAACAAAGATGAAGTTTTACAAAAAGCAGAAAAGGATTTGGCTGCAGTGCTGGATCTGCATATTTCTCGTTTAGTGAAGGAACTCGATGGGACAGATTTTTGGAAGCTCAGACGAGCCTATTCGCCTGGGGTACCTATATTCTGCTACTCTTCTGAAATCTTCATCATTGAATCATGGCTAGAAATCTAACGAATGTTTTGCTTATTTGTAAAAGGTCCAAGAATATGTCGAAGCTGCTACTTTCTGCAACTTTTGCAAGACGGGAACTCTTTTGAATCTCGATGATATCAACGCTTCATTTCGACCATTATGTGATCCTTCAATCAAACCTTTGCAGATTAACGAACTTGACTATTTGTTAGGGGTATATATATAGACACATATATATAAGTATTTATATGTTAAAAGCACATCGAATATAATCTTGTGTTATGATCTTAATAAATGCCATTCTTACTCCTAATTCTTGATTTTATTGCTCAGGTTGCAGATTTGACCGGTGAGCTAATGAGGTTGGCTATAGGCCGGATTTCTGATGGAGAGCTTGAATACGCTCGGCAGATCTGTGGATTTGTGCGAGAAATCTACCGAGAGCTGACTCTGATTGCTCCGAAAATGGATGACTCTTTGGACATGAAGACGAAGATGGATGTAATGCTCCAAAGCGTAATCAAAATTGAAAACGGTAACATTCCATTTTCTTAATAGCAGCTGTAACTTCTCTTATCATTAACATTATTTCGGGAAAATCGTGGCGCATATATATCTTTTTCACTCCTCGATTCTTCTTCGCAGCTTGCTGTAGTGTTCATGTAAGAGGTTCAGAGTACACTCCTCTCCTCGGTCCCGGCGACGACAACTTGTTGTTGCTAGGTTTGTCGGAGATGGAATGATTTCGTTTCATGAGCCAAATCCATCGATTTTTCCGGCCGCAGTTTTTATCAGTAGAACGCATTGAAAAGAAGGTAATTTGCTCACACCCGAATGTAGAAAAGCTATTAGTGAAGAAATCGAGTTTCTAAAACTGAGATCGCATTTTGTTTTGGTATAATCTAAATGCTTCTTGTTGTCGTCGCGAGTCGATTATGAACACAAGTTTTATAATTTCGACCGTTGTGAGGCTCCGGCTACACCTTCCGGAGCACAATTTGCACGCCGTTTCGGGGTTGCGTCGTAAGTATCGTTATAGGAGAGTGAACGTAGGTAGGCGCCAACGTGAACTTATACCGTTGGAGGACCATCGACATGGCAATCTTGACCTCATTGCTCGCGAAGTTCAATCCGACGCAAGTTCGCGGCCCGTAGCCGAACGGTAAAAATGCCGTCGGGTTGTTCCTAGTCGCCTTCGCTATTCCATCCGCAAACCTATCCGGTTTGAAGAGGTGCGCGTCTTCGCCCCATATTTTTGCGTTTCTATGTAGGGCTAATGTCGGGATGTGCAATTCCATTCCGGCTGGGAACTCGTACTTCCCGGCCCTAGCTTTGCTCTTCACTCTTCTCACCAGACTCACGACCGGGGCGTAAAGTCTCAACACCTCGTTGACGACCATGCTCGCCTAACGGAAAAAAAGAAGAAGGTACTTTATAATCGAATTAGAGTTTCATATTCTCGTGTTTAGAATAACTTACGATCTTCAATTTTGGTAGGCCTTCTGCTATCGGATTCCCGTCCCCGAACACGTCGACCACTTCCGCGCGGGCCTTGTCTTGCCAATCCTCGTGGATCGCCAAGAGAAGAAACGTCCACGAGAGTAGGCTACTCGTTGTCTCGTGCCCGGCGAGAAAAAACACCTTGCATTCGTCGATTATATTATCCACCGATATCGTACTTTCCTCGTCGACGATGTTATGGTGAGCTCTCAAAAGCAATCCCAAAAAATCCGTCCCGAAATTGGCCTCTTCGCCGCTCTTTACCTTCGCCTCTCGCTTCTTCACTATCTCCTTCACGGAGGCGCGCAACGATCGCTCGATCCTATCCGACTCGATGTCGTCTTTTAGCTTCCATACTTTGCTGTATCCACGAACAAATACAAGAACACTTGGTCTTTGTATCGATAGATTTGTGCGTAGAAATTTTTGAAGGGAAAAAAGAATGAGGAAATTGATTACTCGATCACGGGGAAACGAACCCTGTCGGCATTCTTGAAAATGAGCATCCCGAGCTTCGCCATCATGTCGAATATGTTCTTACCTTCCAAATAACTGCTCCCGAAGGCCGTCCTTGAGATGACTTCCGAGCTTAGAACTCGGAACTCTTGCGAGACTTCGATCTCCTTCCCTTCGGATTGTTTCCAGTTTCCGAGCATTGTTTCGACGCTCGCTACCATCGCCGGAGTCATCGCCTAGATGTGTTACACCATTTTTTTTCTTTATTAGTACCGTAAAATGAAACGTGAGACGGATTAAGTGTTTACTGTGACGTAAAAGGTAAAGATCGTAATATTTTCAATAATGAAATACGCATTTGTTCGCTTAGTATTTTACGATTCTTTATAAATATTATATAAAAAATATATTATACAAATAAATTAATATAATGATAATCTATATATATATTATATCCATCTACAGCAACTCAATCCAAAACATTACTATTAACAATACAAATATTTTATACTTAATATAAGAATAAAAACACTCCTCCAAATAAAAAGTGAACAAACCTAATGTCACATTTAAAAAAAAAAAAAAATGTTGTTCATTCGGCAAAGTATATGGGTTTGTTTGTTTAGGGTGTGCTTGTTTTGTGTTTAGATTTTGAAGAATTTTTTTTTTATATTTTCTTATTTATTATTTTTATTTAAGGTAAATAAAATCGTGTTGTAATATAAACAATAACAATATTTTATGTTGAATGTTAAATTTATACGAGAAAATAAAATAATATATTAAAAATTGTGTTTAAAAAAAATTTATTTCATAAATAAATCCTATATTTTATACGCCATTTAAATACTTTTAACTTTTGCATAGCAATATATTATAATATGTAATATAATATATATAATTATTTTATAATGTTAAGTAAAAAATTGTAAAAAAAATACTTTAATAACCAATAAAATACTATTATTTTTAATATACTAAATAAACAAATATATATATATATATATATTTGATTGACATGGATGAAGTTTGAAAATGTTAGCAAATAATGCTCAACTTATATAGAAGTTTTGAAGATTTTGAAAATTTAGAAAATATTAAAAATAGTAAAAGATTAATTATTTGATATAATATTTTGTTGGAAAAAATATATTTGATATGTATTTATTGAAAAAAGAAATTATTGTCAATAAATAATACAAAAAATAAAAAGACGGTCTATACAAATGGAGTTTAAATTTCTACCTTGAGGCTCTCGGCATAAAATGCAGAGTTGGCCAATTTCCGAAGCTTCAACCACTTAGTTCCCTCGGCCGTGAAAAGACCATCTCCGACCAATTTTTCTGCGATGCCGTCGAGTTTGATCTTTGGGAAGTCGCCGCCCTTGTTAGTTAGTATTTCCTTTGCTAGCTCCGGCTCGGTTATCACTAGATGAGGGCGAGGGCCATTCCATGTAAGAAAATTCGCTCCTGTCATAAACATCGCCAATTGTTATTGAAACTATTATTCGAAATTGAGTTGAGTATCTCATTTTTTTTATCGTGACTTGAATTTTTCGAGCTAAACTCAAGCTCATTTACAAATTACCTTGGCTTCGTTTGTTTAAAAGATCAAGTACTCGATATCATACCGTTCATAAAAAAGAAAAAAATTCTTAAAAATTCATTCAATCAAATATTTATTTTTTTAATACTGTTTCTGTCCACTTAATAAGTTACATATATGGTTAATATTTGAATATTAATTATTATATCAAAAAGTAGTACGAATTAAGAGAAAAAGACAAAAATACTTCTATTAATATCTTATAATACAGATATAATGATATTTGTATATAAATTAAAATTTACATTCAAAATATTATACCAAATATTATTTCAATTCAAAATTTTATTATTTCGAAACTCAAATCCAAACCGTAAAGAACACATCACACGTTCAAATTTGTTATAAATTTTATGTCGAGCTTAATCTTTATGTACTATATATACACAACATATTACATTTTTCAAGGCTCTTTATTATAATTAATGAGCTAAGCTCGAGTGTCGAATTCGAGCCATAAAATTTGAGTACTTCTCGATTAACTTGGCTCGCATAACATCTTTAACTACGATCTCACTACCTCGTATATTCCTAAAACAAGAAACTTGCAATATACATACACATACATACGCACCGTATAAGTTCATCCAAGCGTAGAACGAGGGCTGAGCTTGGGGGAAAATATCATGGGACATCTCCATCGGGCGGTTCATCCCTTCAAGCTTAAGCCTCATGCTTTCCTTGGTGGTTCCATGGATGAACTTGTAAGAAGGGCCGGAGATTCCTTGGGAGCGCATCATCAATTGGACACGGATCGGGTTCCATACGAGATTGTTGATGAACCTTAAAAGGACTAATAATGTTGGTAATAAAAGAAGGAGTGAGAGAAACATGGCTTGAGAATTAAAGAAGGATGGTATTGTAAGAAAAGATTTTTTGGGTGTCTTTTTAAAGCATGTTTGGGATTATAATTCTTGGGATTTCGACAAAAACTATGATGAAAGTTGTGTACGAGGTTGTAGGGAGTGATGAGAACTATATGTTGCTTTGTTTGTTTGTCGACTGTAGTTATTGATTGCGACAAATGCTGATGCCCCGGTGGGTTTGTCTCGATGTTCTTTGGCTCGATCGATCTTGATTGTTTGCCGCCTTTATATAAAATTGATGGCCGGTTTTACTTTGAGGTGCTATATAATATGATTCTTTTCGTGTATATATTTTTGAAAGTTTTGACATTATTTAGTATTCAAATTTTATTATTTAAAACTTCAAATATAATTCTATAATTAAAAAAAATAAAAGTACAATAATTATAAATACAATACATTTTATTTTAGTAGGAGTTATTTATTATATATTCTATTATAAACTTAGTTTGATTTAACTTGATTTAAGCTCATTCGAAAACATAAATAAATCGAATCAAATAATATAAATAGTCTTATTTTATTACCGAACAAGTCCAGATCTTGTTTGCAAACATTCGTTTAAAAAAAATAAATATACAAAATTATTAATTAATTAATTAATAATACATTATATATAAAAATTTAAAAATAAAATAAAACATTATTTTAATATTCTTTCCCAACCAATCCTTTGTCCTAATAAATCTATTCAAACAAGTTCAAATGAGTCAATCACGAACAAAAATTTAAATAATAAAATTAGTTAACAAATGGAGCTCAAATGCTTAGCAAATGAGTATGAATTTTGTTTGTTAACATTAATAAACAAACACAAATATTTAAAATTTTATTGTGCTTAGTTTGTTAACATTTGAGATATTTTAAATTATCAGTTTTAGATTTGGTATTGCATATATATATATATATATATTCTATTTTGATGATCAATAATATTGTTTTATTATACTTATTACCTTTTTGTATTGCTTATATATATACCATATTTTGACGATCAATAAGACAATTTTATTATTTTGTCTTAAAATTTTTAACATTTTTTATTTTAAAATTATAAAATTGATAAAATTGTCTTATGGGTCATTTTCAACAATTTTTTTTTTTTTAACAGACTCTATAATTCAAATCTAATTAATCTAATAGATAAATATAAATTTAAATATAGATCTACTAAATATCTAATATATCCAACATTCCTTTAAACTCAAGTGGTAACATTAGCGAGTAATAAACACTTTCAACTATTCACATATTTTGTCTCGAAATATATCACGTCCACGATGCGACAACTGCTTAAATATATACTCCCTCCGTCTAGAAGAAATGTCTTGTTGGGAGTTGACATGAGAATTAAGGAATAATAGTATTTAATTGAAAGTGAGTATAAAGTAGGATATAAAAGACTATAATGCCCTTTGTTGAAGGATTTAAAAAAATAGATTAGAGTAATAATTAAAGATAGTTTGAAAAAGTAGGAATAATTTTGTTATAAAGTGGGAACCACAGTTACTAAATAAGAAAATAAAACAATTGTTTTGGGACGGACGAAAATGGAAAAATAACAACTCTTTTGGGACGGTGGGAGTAATATATGGAACATTATTTTAATATACCACCTTCTAGAAGCTTTCCAAAATATAGTCCTCAAAATCAATGGCGCTAAAAACAAATACTAGTAAAACAAAATAATAAAAATCAATGGCGGTCACGTGCAAAGCGTGCGGAATTCCTCCCCACCCCTAATTCCAACTCAATACAAACAAACCCGCCACCATCACTTCGCCGGCGCCGCCCGCCGCCGCCGCCGCCAACAAAACTCCCAACCCTATTCTTCACCCCATAACTGTAACAGAAACCTCATTCTCCTCCATTTATTACAATTCACAAATCAAATCCGAAAAAATTCCCCCAATCCTTGTCCGAAAATCATTAACAACCCCACACCAAACCAGGTTGCCTTAAAATTAGAAACACAAATCGATCGAGATCCCCAAATTAATTCGAAGATAGAGAATGGCGTTACCAGTCTTCGTTCTTCTTCAAAATTTTCCGATTGTCTTGGTCGTTTGTTGTGCAGTCGTCGTCCTCGTAACTTTGTCGAGGTTAATCTACAAGCTATGGTGTCGGCCGATCCTCGTCCAGAATCGTCTGCGCGCGCAGGGGCTGAAGGGGAATTCTTACAGATTCTTACATGGCGACAACTGCGAGATTGTCCGAATGAAGGAGGAGGCGATCAAAGCCCCCTGCGAGCTGACTCACCACGATCTGTTCCCCAGGATCGTCCCCCATTACCATGCCTGGATGAAGCTTTATGGTAAATAACTTTGATTTTTTCCTTTACTTGGAATTTTTTCGAAATATTAAAAATAATATGGTTCCTTTACTTAGCCAAAATTCTTCGTAACTCTGTTGTAAATTCAGCTTAAAATTTTTTAAATAAAGTATTTTATACTTTAAAAAATATTGCAAATATAGCTTTATGAAAAAAAAAAAAAAACCCATCTTTTTATAAAAAAAATAAAATAAAAAGGAATTTATAAATGTTTTTTTTAATGTATAATGAACCCATGCAATTTTTAAAGTACAAATGAATTTACATTGAGTTTCGAAATCACACAGATAAATTATGAGCAATTTCGCCGAAATATTATTCCATGGACTAGATTGGCAAAAAAAACATATTAATATTAAAGTGGAGTACATAAAAAATAAAGTAGATATTAAAAGAACCTGATAAAAGATACTATAGTGAATAAAAAAAAATTAATAACAAATTGATTATTATTCGTTAAATTAAAAATAATAAAAATTTGAGGTGAATGTACAAAAAAGAATAACAACATAATTTTGATGAACTAGTATTTAATGTAATATTTAGTATAAAAAATTTAAAAAATATTTATGTAATTCAATTATTATTATTATTATTAGTAGTAGTATTAGTATTATTTTTTCTGGTGTTTGTTTGAGAAATTGTTTTTTGAGGTGGATTTTAATCGTAAAAAAATTTTAAATTAAAATAATTATATAATATGATATTTTGAATAAAAAAATAATTTTTAATATAATATAATTAAAAAATAAATAAAGTTGATATTTTTTAAGAAAAAATAATTATATAAATAATGAAAATTAATTAAAATTTTTCAGACAAACACACATATAACATAGGCTCCCTCTTATAATGATCACATCCGCAAAATTCGTCAAAATTATAACAATACGTTTAAATTTGCACGAATTAGTCTGAAATAAGATAAAATTTCACAACAAAAATGGCAACGGGGACTAATTTTGCACGTGCACGACTACGCGGTGACTTAGGTGAAAATTTCTTCTATTGGATGGGTCCTAAGGCAGCTGTTGTAGTGACTGAGGCAGAACTTGTTAAGGAAGTGTTGGGCAACAACGATGGAGCGTTCGGAAAGGTTAAGGTTGTAGGACACGCCAAGAAATATTTGGGAGACGGCCTTGTTGTCGCCGAGGGCCAAAAGTGGTCGAGGCTCCGGAAAATTGCTAATCATGCTTTTCATGGAAATTGCCTAAAGGTCCATCGCCGCATTCTCAATCTCAAATATTTTATTTTTATTGGTAATTTTGTTGATCTAATAGTCTTTATTTTTTTTTATTTAGAAAAAAAAATTAAAATAAAGTCATTATACTTAGATGTGATAATTTTGGATCGATAGATTTTTTTCATACCGGCCCGGCCCGTTTTCAAATTGTCCAGATAGGCTTGGCTTGGTTTGAATTCGGGTTTCGGCCTCCAGGCCCGAGCACGGAGAGTTTCAAACTGTGCCGGACTAGGCTGGCCTAATTTTTTAATTTTTGATATATATTTTCATATTTTTTTTTTTTGAAAAGAAATTATATTAATTCAAAATAGATACAATTATGATAAAATTTAAACATATATAATTAAAATTTAATTTTATTAAATCGAATTTTTGAATAGTGCTTATGCTATAATTATACTTTCAATTTTTCTTTTTCAAAAATTTTAAAGTAAAGTTCATTTATAATTTTTGAATTTCATTTTAAATTTATTTTTAATTAAATATATTTTACATCATAATTCAATTTATAACTAAACAACATTTAATTTCATATAAAATATTAGGGTATGTTTCTTTACACAAATTTTTTCAAATTTTATTATTTGGATTATGCGTTTTTCGAAAAAAATACAATTTTTTTTCTTACAAAATATTCCATCAAACATTATTTTAATACCAAACACAAACAAAAAATTTTCAAACTCAACCAAAAGAACCACACCCTAAATCTCGCACGTAGATGATCGTAATCGTTTATTACAGGAAATGTTTCCGGCGATGGTAGCGAGCGTCGACACAATGCTGGTCCGTTGGGCGAGCGAGGGCAGCCGAGAGGTCGAAGTGACCGAAGAGTTTCGGATTTTGACGTCGGAAGTGATTTCTCGGACAGCCTTTGGAAGTAGTTATATCGAAGGGAAGAACATATTCAAAATGCTGACGGAGTTAGGAAACCTCGTCGCAAAAAACATGCACAAGATGACATTTTTCGGGCTAGAGTATGATCCTTTTTTTGCAATACGTTCATTTCCTATCATTTATTGTCTGAATTCACTACAAAAAAATAGTATTTTTGTAATAAAATTTCGTCCATAAAGTTCACGTAACTAACGTAATTTCATTCATGATTTCGTCTCTAATGTCACTAGTAACGGAAAAAATGAATTTAGGAACGATAAAAACTCGTTAAAAAAATGATACTATATATTTTCTTGTAGTTAATAATCTATTTTTCTTCTGATAAAAAATTATATATATTTCTAATAACTGAAGCTTTTAGGTAAGATGATCATTTAACAGAGTTGTTGCAGGAAGCTTTGGCGATTCAAAGAGGAGATTGAATCCGATAAAATAGAGAAATCTTTGCACGACTCTGTAATGACATTGATAAGGAAACGGGAAGAAAGTGTGAAGAGTGGCTTCGGGAAAGACTTTCTCGGATCGCTCTTGAAAGTGCATCACGACAACGATCCCAATACGAGGATTTCCGTAGACGATGTCATCGACGAATGCAAGGTTTTCTACATTGCCGGGCACGAGACGACAAGCACCGTAATGCCGTGGATCGTCGTCCTCTTATCGGTTTACACCGATTGGCAAGACAAAGTACGGCAAGAGGTGTTGCAAATTTTCGGTCAGGACAAGCCGACGCCCGAAGGCATCTCGAGGATGAAAATCGTAAGTACTAAAATAATATTTTACTATCTTACAAAAGTCAATTTTAGTATATTGGCGCTGCTTTCAGTGCCACAGTGTCTTATGCACCAAAATGACTTTTTACAACTAATGCTATTATTACATCTGATGGGGACTCCTGGTTGCGGATAATAATTAATGGTTGCGCTTTCCTAATAGTTTGAATTTTTAGGTAAGACAGTCATTTTGCGGCCGACATAGTATCAGAGCTTAGATTAGGTCTTGATTCGAGTCCCACTGTCCCTATTTGTGGTATATGCATGTATAAGTTTCGCATACTCCTATTTGTATATGAGGGAGCGTGTTGGAGATTCCCATTTGCAGATAATAATTAATGGCTGTACTTTTCTAATAATTTGAGCTTTTAGGTGAGACGGTCATTCTGCATCCGACAACATCCTATGATTATATCATGTTCTTTCATGCAGTTAACAATGGTGATCAACGAAACGCTAAGGTTGTACACTCCGGTGGTGGCGCTCAACCGGAAAGTCGACAAGAAAACCAAGCTCGGGAGATACGAGATTCCGGCGAACGTCGAATTGATCGTCCCGTCACTAGCTCTCCATCGGAATCCCGAAATATGGGGCGATGATGCCCACCTCTTCAATCCGGAGAGGTTTTCGGAAGGCGTGGCGAAAGCCACAAATGGGATGCTCTCGGCATTTATCGCATTTGGATACGGACCTCGATCATGTGTTGGCAATAACTTTGCTATGAACGAGATCAAGATAACGCTTGCGATGATCCTTCAACGGTATAAGTTTGTGTTGTCGAAGAATTACGTCCATTCGCCTTTCCAATTTTTGACTATTAACGCTCGGCACGGAGTCCCTATTGTTCTACATCCGTTGGAGGAGTAAGGACGTTGTCTACGTACTGTATTTCTATACGATACATGTATTTTTAGTCCTGTATGTGACATCTTTTTTACTTTAATGTTTTTAAGAAGAATATGTTTTAAAATGACCGTATATCTCTTTAGCGGACGTTCTAATAATCCTAATTTTAAGTATAACACTTGTATGTACTTATAGACAAATGAACATGGAGAGGTACAATATACACCAAAATGACATACATAGAAGAAAAACGACATAGAAGACCATTTAAAGTATTTATTTACTCTCTTCATCCGAAAAGAATATTATTAATTTACTTTTAAAAAAATAAAAATAAGAAATCGCAAATGTTATTTTTCAATTACGAACTGTGTCAATTCTTTGTAAATTACATTAAAAAGTAAGTTACATTAGACAAATCTTGTATGACAAACAAAATTAAGACAACATCGGCCAATTTTGATTAAGAAACTATTTTTTGTTACTTTATTTAATCTTTGGTTGCTTTTTGCACTTTATGTTTTTATTTATCTAGATATTGAAATTATCACTAAAAAAATTAGTGTCATAACAATTTTGGCGGGAAAATTATCATTAGAATATTTCAAAACAAATATACATTTATATTTTTAATTATTGAAATACTCACTAAAAGCTAACATCACAAATCGCAAGAAATTCATAGTTAAAATCTTCTAAAACAACACATACATACATATAAAGCACCTTTTTATCAAGACTTCGTATACAAATCTACATATGAAACTTGAATTATCACCAAGAACCCCAAGTCATTTTTCAAAAACAATCAAGCCAAGAAACCCTAATCAAATTTCTTTAGATTTTCAAACATGCTAATGATATACATCAAGCCAACAACCAAAAATCTCTATAGTTTTTAGTAGTGATGAGATATCCTCCAACTTTCTTGTTCTTCCTCCTCACCGCAATCGCCGTGCAACCCGCATTCTCGATGCAATACTCCATAACATCCGGCCCATTGGCGCCCGCCACCGCCCACCCGGGCATCTCCCTCCAGGCCATCCACCGTTTCTTTCGACCCAAAATAAGAAGCGCCGCCGCTTGCTTAGTCGTCTCCTCCACTATCGTCGGGCCCTTTTCCTTCCCTTCCACCATTGACACCTCGACTTGCACCTATATTGTTACGCATATTCAAACTTTCATATTTTATAAAATTTATATGTCTGATATGTTCATGTAATTGTTGGCATGAGTAGTGTTAGATGATCTGAATAATCGTTTCACCTAAAAATTTAAACTGATAAGGATATGCATCATTAATTTATTTATCTATATTCAAGAGTTAATCAACAAGTCCCCTCATATGCATGAGGATATATGCGAGACTTGCACGGAGACGACAACATATGAGAACATTGGAATTCAAACGTGAAATCTATGATTCTTATATTAAGTAGTTTGATTGATTCTTTTATATAGTTGTAACTTAGAATGTATCACTTTTTGACATGAGTAGTTTTATTAGTAGTTTGATTGATTCTTTTATATAGTTGTAACTTAGAATGTAAGACTTTTTGACATGAGTAGTTTTATTTATTCTGTTATACTTTATCGAAACTGTGAGACATCACAACGACAGTTATAGTTTAAATTATAAGTGTGTTGTGTTGTACTTTGTATGTACCTCGGGCCTCTTAAGATGACATATATTCTTCATACAAGTGAGGAATTCTGGAACCCTTCGCCGATAAATCACATCCTTCCGAATCAAATCCTCGTCACCTAATGAAAAAATAAAATAAAATTTGCGTACACATTCGACGATTCAAAAAAAAGCCTAAAACTAGAGATTCATGATCTTACTAACCTTGTCCACAAGGCTTGATAACATGAAGAAGTATGATCATGTCACGGCTTCGGACAACATGGCTAAGTGTCCATTGCAACGCATTCTTAGCCTCTGTGCTCGAATCAATCACCACCATAATTTTCCGACCTAATTTCTTCCCAAAACCATCGCTCGTGATCTTCTCTCGATCATCATCGGAAGCATCAACGGATTCAAGAACCGTATTTGAATCGATCGAAGGTGGACGAACCCTAACCAAAGGCCTAATCTTGTTGAGACCAAAATTAGGCATTTTTGTGGCAATAATTCTCCCCATGGATTTGTGATTTATGATTAGAATTGAATCCTAACTATTTTCGAATGAACTTATTAGAGGAATTATAAACATACATACATATATATATATATATATTAGATGTGATGAAAGATCAAAAGCAAATAATGATTTAAAGTAAGGATTGATGATATGGGGTGGTCCATTTTTAATTTTTTTTCCCCCTTTCTCTCTTTAATTTCACTTTCTTTGGTGTTCGGTTTTCACTTTTGGCTTTTGTGCTTTAATTTGGGGTCTTTTTTGTTTGGTCCTACGTTTGAATGAGGTTGTCTTCACAGCATTTCGCGCCAACATTTTATGTTCTTGATAAGGATGGATGTTGGATACCATTAGCAATGGGTCGGGTATAGGGTATACCCGAACCATATTCGAAACCCGACTCAATTATTTAAGGTCAAATTAACAAAAATTTTGAAAGAATTTGGAGGTTTGAAGAATTTTTTAAACAAATAAAAAAATTGAATAATTTATATGATATTCTGAGATGAGATAAATTTTGATTTGATGTCTTTTTTATTTTAAAAAATTTCTAATGATAATATTAATAAATATATAGCTACTTTATTACTCACGTAGCACTTTCTTATTTTAAATTTCAAGGCCATTTTAAGCAATGAACTCTTACAGAAGAATTATTATATATTATTCTTTAATTTACGTAACAAAAGTGAATTGATATATTTGATATTTGATTATTTAGGGTTTGGTAATGCTACTTTTGTGAGCAAAAGGTTTTAGGGATTGTTTGGGTGTTCTTTGTAATGATGATCCAATGGCTGAATTGGGCCTATGCATATATATATATATATATAAGTATTCTAGAAAAAATCATTATCCAAAAATAAATAATTAAAGACTCCATTCATTCACCCAAAGGCTTGTCGATAGTCTTTTGCTTCATTTCTATATGTAAGGTTGCATACACCGAAAAAATTATAATTAAGATAATTAATTAACTAAAATAAAATTTTTAAAAAATTATAAATAAAAAAATTTTAAAATAAATTAAAGTGTGTAATATATATATATATTTTTTTTAAAATAATAATAAGATGAATGAAATAGTATTTGAATGGATGTTGGGATATGGTTTAATAAATATATTTGATTAAAATTTTAAAATATGTGTATAAAGTTTTGCAAGATATGCCTCAATAAAATATACATATTATATATATATATATTGAATATAACTATATCTAGCATATAAATAAATAATATAAATCCACATATAATTAATATAAATCATCTTTTATATAAACAAAATAAAAAATATATTTTTTTTTGACCTGGGATTTACGCAGTTTGCATTTTTTTTTGTAGCGGTTGCACGTTATCACATTATATAAAAAAATAATAATAATAAAATAAAATATATATATATACTAAATTATTTATTTATTTTTTATTATAGTAAATTTTGAATGTATATATATTGATTTAGAAGAGGGTATGTTTCTTTCATTGATTTGAGAAAATTTTGATTTAGTTTAATATTAAAATAATACTATGATAGGATATTTTTTAAGAGAAAAAATATTTTTTTAAAAAAAAAACATAGAATCCAAATAGTAAAAATCTTAATTTTGGTGGTAAAAGAAGCAAACCCTTATATTCAATTTTGTAAAAAAAAGGTTGAAAAATATATGAATACGTAATATATTTCGAAAGTATAGCATCAGAAAAATTCAAAAACCATACCAGCATACATATAATATATATATATTCTACAAGAGCATCTGAACATTGCTTACATACATATATATATATATATAATTTTCAATAATCAAGAATTATTGAACTGCCATGGCATCAACAAGCTAATTAAGTTCAGTAAGTGTTTTTTTTTTTTTTTTTTCCAAATAATTATGCAAGCATTAAGACAAATACACTAATCGATAAACTTAGGAGACTTGTCTAAATAGTACCAAACCCTAATTAAATAGATCATCAATCCCTCATAAACATAAATTTATTTATTCCCCTTAATTATTCGAATCGAAAAATCGACTCATCAGGCAGCAAAGCATCCAAGATTGCAGGAATAGAGCGAGTCGAGGGTTAGATCAAGCTCGTTGTTCCTTCTAGAAGCCTCCGTCGCTTCGCCTTCGTCGTATCCACCTGTGCCGCTGCATATTGCCATAACAAATAAATAATATCACAGTCAGTTATTTTGATTCTTTTTAAGTTTTTACTTAATATTTACTATTTTTAAAAAAATCATTAAAAAAAAATATAAAATCAAACACTTGTTTTTTTTTTTTTTTTTTATATACCACGTTAAAAATTAATTTTATATCCAAAATATGGTATTAAACAACTATTTTATTTTAAAATTTTACTATTCAATTAGTTGTTTTTAACACACATTTTCATTATCTATAGAAACTTATTTTTGACCTTTCTAAAAAAAGCAAATCAAATTAAATATATTTTTTATATTATACTAAAAATAAATATATATTAAAAATATCACATCAAATAATTATTTTAACTTAAAACATTACTATTCAAAACTCAAACTCAAAATCCAATCCTCAAAAACAAACAATTGTATTTTCGAACACTCATTTTCATTTATATATAACACTTTATCCTCAAAATACTTCTTTTTCATTTTTCATATTACTATCAAAAAATTATTTTTCATTCAAAATATCATATTAAATGTCTATTTATATTGTATCCAACAATTGCTTCGATCAATTAATTTTTTTTTTACTATATTCAAAACACAATTAAACAAAGTATTGAAATGTGGGTACATACCCAATGTTTAAGCAAGGGAGTTGATGGGGAATCAAGAACGGCGCGGGGGGTCGCGCGGGCACGGGGTGGCCGCAGTCGGGCTGCGGCTCCCAGTTGCAATGGGGCTGCTGTACTGCAACTGCTTCTTTCTGCTTATCTTTAATCTATATATATATATATATATATGTATATGCACATGTGTGTGTAATGTTAAAGACAATGTTGGATAAGGTTTGAGGATGATATATAATTGCAACAAATTAAGAAAGAAAATATTCAAGAAGTTATATGGTAAAATTGCACAAAATCTATATATAATTTTACGAAATTGTATCAAATTCTATATTTTTAAAATTGCGTCAAACTCCCTCATGGTTTTATAAACTCTGCGTCTAACCCCTCGACTTTCTTTTCTTCCTAAACCTCTGAAATTACAGATACTAAAAAAAATAAGAAGACTGAGAGGTTAGCTGCAGAGTTCATTAAACCATTAAAGAATTTGATGCAAATACGAGAGATTTGACGCAATTTCGTAAAACTGCGGGTGAGGTTTGTGCATTTTTGGCAAGTTATATATATATATATATATATTTTGCAAGGTGGCTGTGATTTTAATTACCTGTTTTTCTAGCATGCTGTTTTGCTCTTGTATTGCTTTCTCCTGTCAACAAATCACTTACATTTTGTAATATATGTGTATATATATATATATATAAATACAACTGTGTCTTTAATAGTAAACATTGTTGATTTAATTTTGCATGGTATGAAATTTTTTAGTTGCAATCATATATAATCTATATATGCTAAGGCAAAGGTTTTATTTGGAAAAAAAAAATCATTTTTTTTTGTCGTTTGTAATAGTAAATAGTATATTTTTATTAAAATTATGAGAGTTAAGTAATATTATATATATATAACAAAGTATTTTAATTAAATTATATGGAAACTAAATTAAAATGAATAAGTACTTATAGCTTGTTCTTTTAGTAGTTACCCCATTCTCAATAAACACAAAGAGTATTCATGTTTTTCAATACAAATATAATGTTTTTTTTTGTAAAGTATTTTAAAGTAATAAAAATTATTTCACTCAAATAACCTTATAACTCCCAAAATACTTTTATAATTTTCAATAACTAACAATAAAATTTTTATAAAATAAACTAAAATACTAAAAGAACACAACCCTAATGTAATGTTTTTTAGATTTTCTTTTTCTTTTTTTTTGGAAGGAGAGGAGGGTTAAATAATGAGCTTGAAAGCAAAAGTAAATATAATCTAACCTTTTGTTGCAATTCATAGATAGAATCATACAAGAGTTGATTCTGCAAAAAAAAAAAAAAAAAAAATAGACATAGTTAAGGTTAGCTCTTTTGATAGCCATTAAACATCTACAAAGAATTTAACTGTGAAAGTTAATTTTATTTACTTTTCTAGATCGAATGTTCTTGATCGCAGAGTCGAGCTGTTGTTCCAAATTCTGAAGATCCTTGAGGCTCATCGAGTCAAGGTCTTCGCCCATGTAGTGCCTAAGGGTACAATCAACCAAAAAAATACAAACACATACATATATATAATGTGTGTATAGAATATTTTTTTTAATAAAATGATACATTCTTATCAATATTCCGAATTTCTTACTATTATTTCAAGTCTAGAGATCCAGTCTTACTCTTCTAAGTAAAAATTATAAAAAAATTTTAACAAAATTTATGAAGTTTCTCTTTTGAGTTTGGTCCTTATTTTTATTAAAATATTTAAAAAAAAATTATTTAGGCCATCTCCAACCGAACACTTTTATTTATACAGTTATAACTCTAAAAATGCAGTTGCTACCGTAATTTAATTCTAACCCATAACTCTATTTTCAACTCCAAAAAGAATACTCTCTAAATATTCTATTTTATATATTATTAAACAATTTTTTATATTAACAACATACAAATATATACAATTAAAATATAAAAAATTACAGATTAGTTCTTATAGGGACCAATTTACAATTTGCAAATATAAAAAATTTAAAAAACAAAAAAGTAAAAAACACCAAAAATAGCGTTGCTACAGTGCAACACCAAAAATAGTATTGGATATGAAGTTGGATTAGAGAGGTAAATCTCCAAATATGGAGCTGCAACCTCATTTTTTAGTAGGTTGCATTGGAGATGGCCTTAGAAGAGTAAAACTAGTGTAGTTTTTTCAAGAAATGTGGAGTATAAGGAGTAAAAAACTAAATAAATTTACTCTCTAAACTCAATTTTTTCGAAAATAAAAATAAAAATTCTCTTTTCATTAATATCACATCAAATATTATTCAAATCAAAAGTCCAAAGTTCGAAGACACAAAAGAAACACAATTGTGTTTAAAATTAGGGTTTTGAGTTCACCTATGGTTTCTTTGCAAGAGTTCAATCCTAGCCCTAAGTTTGCTGTACTCTAGGGTCCAATTTGCCTGCATCAAACAGCTCAAAATTATCAAACTGTTACCCAAATAAATTTTGATCAATTTGTTCCTATTAGTGTGTGTTGTGTGTGTGTATATATATATATACATACAGGTGACTGTGGCTCAGGTGAAACAAGTTGTCTTTCTGCAAATGAATATCTTTCATACTTCTCCAGGATCCTGTCCATGCTGCCACGTCACAAATATCGATGATATTAACACGTAGATAATTTAAATGATAATAATAACGATAATCTTCGATGATCACAGACATATTTGAGTCTTGTTTTACACTTCAATTTGGAAAAAATTTGATTCAATCTAAAACTAATTAGATCACATTATATTATAATTGAAATATATCTTTCGGTCGATCTATATATATATATATATGTATGAGGCAAACAAGTCGAACCGATGTGAAAAATTCTTCGAGTTAATAAAGACCTCTTATATTTTTGTTTCAATATTTTGCAATATGCAATTTATAGTAGAATGTTGTTTTATGCTGGAAAAACATTAGGGTCTAAAATATATTTTCTATTTAAAATATATCTATTTTTATTATTTTTTTAAAAAAATTCAAATTCTGAAAAACCCCAAACCACAAGCAAACACACAAGACCTTTTGCAAACATTTAAACATGAACATTTGGTAATTGTGGAAATACATATTGAATAATTGTGGGAAAATAAAAATAAATTAGGGCAACATTGAAGTAATTCTTCAACTCTACCACAAAAAAACTCTATCATACACACACACACACACAAATATATATTCCCTCCGTCCACTTACAACGTTTACATATTTCTATTTTGGACGTCCAATTACAAAGTTAACATTTCATTAAATACCTTATTTTTTTTCCACATATACCCTTACTTTACATTACATTATTACTTTTACACAAAAAACGTAAGGGCAAAAAAGTAAATATAAACTTTGTAAGTGGACGGAGGGAGTATAATATAACTGTTTTCTCAAATTATTTTATTTGTTAAAATTTCTCTTTAAAAAACATCATACTAAAAATACATTCAAGACACCAACATACATCTAAAAAATTTAATACTAATATATTATACATCCAAGGAAAACTTTCCAAAAGCTTTGATATATTTGATATGCATATATATATATATATAAACTCTTACAGCCATGTTATAAATTTAACAATAATTTTTCATTATTGCTTCTAAGAAATCAATGCTGTCTGTGACACCAAATAATGCTTTCAATAACACTGCTTGCCAAACTTCTTTATGACAAAGATCATCATTTCAATTCTTTCCTAGTAGATCCAAAAAAAAAAACCCACATCTTTGTTTCACGTTTGTAATGAATTAATTAGGTTCAAAGATTTCGATGTTTCCAAGTATGTGTACTCTCCTAAATCTGCAATACTTTTTGCAGATTCTCTCTTGTCCAGGGGTCAGATAAAATACACATACATATATATATATATATACACAATTTTATTTTATTTTTTTAAAAAAAACCATGTTAGAGGACAGTGAGTTAGTTCAAGTTCCAAGATTGAAGACATTGCTATGACCTACAGAATCTAGAAAGAAACCCGTGTCGAAAACTGAACTATTTATTAGCCATGGGAACTGATTCAGGTGAACTTCATGTATCTATGTGTATATATATATATATCAATCACATCACTTGTCACCAAAACCGACGTCGTTTTGTGTGTGTATATATATATATATATATTGTATTGTGTTTGTGTAGATACTCACTGGATAATAACACAACAATCAATCCTCCATGGAAATGGATAATTAAGAAAACCACTGTGTCCAAGAACAGTTGTTTTGTCCTTAATTTCACTAATTATATATATATATATACAGAGAGAGAGAGAGAGAGAGAGAGATTTGATCTTGATTTAGATTTGGAGAAGTGGGGTTTCAAGAAAGGGAAAAATTAGGGTTTGAACATTTAAGAGATCGTGACATAGTTAAACATCAAAAAAGGGCAAATCTATAACTCAAGATCAAATCAAGATTTTTATTTATTTATTTTTCTAAGACAATAAAGGGCAAGGACAAATCAAAGAGGGCTGATCCATTCAGAAGAGATGGAGAGACAAAATAGAAAACCCTAATTTCAAAATCCCCAATCCCCAAAAAGCACCAGATCCAGTATTCGAAAACCTAAGGGAATCGAAATCAAAATAATTACAACATTAAAAAAAAACTTACGAAGAATCAGTGGAATACTCGAAAAGCTTGCCCTTATGTGAAAACACGATGAGAGCTACTTCTGCATCGCAGAGGACAGAGATCTCATGAGCTTTCTTCAACAATCCAGCCCTTCTCTTCGAAAACGTCACCTGTCTGTTGATCTTGTTCTCTATCCTCTTCAGCTGGACTTTCCCTCTCCCCATTTTTCTCTCTCCTCAAAAGCTTTGTTTGTTTGGGTTTTTTTTTAAGGAGCTAAAAATGGAAACCCTGTGTAAGAAGAAGAGAGTGCGAGTGTTGTAAACCAGACAGAGAAAGTGATTACTGTCTCGTTTTTTAGGTGAAATTTGGGGAACAAATTGGGGGAGATTATTAATGGCAAATTATCGAGGGTAGCGTTGGTTGCTTTTATTCGATTTTTGTATGGATCGAGTGGGGCGGGGAGGGGGGGTCTTTAAAGCATTGTCTGAAAGGGGTAATCGAACAAGGAAGAGAAAAAGACACTCTCTCTCTCTCCTCTCTCTCTCTCCTCTCTCTCTCTCGAACCAGGTGGGGTTTTTTAAGGATGTGCTGTCGAGGCTTGATTGGGTGGAGCTGGGGAAACTGGGGATTGTCTGGTGGGTTATGGGTTTTCACCATTGTAGGGATCTGTTGTGGTTTCAGAGCTGAGCTGAGAGTGATCTGTGTTGTACGGACATGGGGGGTTGAGTTGATGTGTGTATGTCTCGTCCTGTCTGTTCATTGCACTTTCAGTCCCGTGTCGGGTTTGAAGATCCCGGGACCTCGGATCCGGCTGCGAGAATATGCTTTTTTGGGTGATGCGCCTCGGCGGTTGAGGGGGTTTGGGTATCTGGAGCTCCAGACCCGGAGTTGTGACCTTTTATTCTTAAAAATATACTGTAACATACTAAGGGTGTGTTTGTTTGAAGGATTTTGGAGAATTTCCACTATTCATTCAATTTTTTTTTCCCAAATCATCAAATCAAACACCTATTTTTCATTTTTTATATTATACTAAAAATCAATTTTACATTCAAAACATCACATCAAACCCTATTTATATCAAATCATACAACTATTCAAATTCAAAATTTTTACTATTCAAATCCCAATCCAAAATCCAAACCCCCAAACAAACACACCCTAAGTAAAATTTTAATTAAAAAATACGAGCATTTAAGATAAAATATAATTAATAATTAATTAAAAAATATATTAATAAAAATAATTATAAATTAAAATTAAAATAATTAAATAATTTAGTTAAATTAAAAAATTTTAAAATGATGAAATTTAAAATGAGATTAAAGTGTATAATAAAGAAAAAGGACAAATTACTTTGGAGGGATGAAAATAAAAAATTAGAAACAAATTATGTGGGACATATGGAGTATTATAATTAGTAAGTAATTAAATTTTATTAGTAAAAATAATTATAGATTTAAATTAAGATGACTAAATAGTTTAATTAAAATATAAAAAAATTATAAATTGCTAATTTTAAAATATTATTAAATTGTATAATTATATTTTACAAAAATAGAAATAACAAATGATGTGGACGAATCGAAAAAAAAAGAATGGATAAATTATATGTGACGAAGAGAATATGTTATAACTTAGCATATATATATATATATATATATGATACTTTATAATACTAACATATGCTTAGTTATGCCAAAATATATATTGTATATTTTTATGACCAGATCAAATCAACACCTAATTTGCGTCCTATTTATTTTATATTATTTCAGTAAAAATATTAGATTAGAGAGCAGTACAAATGATATATGTAAATACAATTTTGTTCTTATTTGTTGGTATAAAAATTAATGATTTGATAATAAAATATGAATAATTTTGTATTTATGTGAGATATAAATTTACTTTAAAAAATAAAAAAATTTAAATGGGTAGGTGAAAAAAAAAGAAAAAGCCCAAAGAGAATTTTTTGAATGAACAAAGAAAAATATTTATCTTTAAAATATTATATCAAAAATAATATTATTTAAATTAAAATTTATATTAAAAAAATAAATTTAAATACAAATCATTTTTTTTTTTAGTTTTGCTGTGAGTTTGTTTGGTTTTGGTTTGATTATAAAATTTTTATTTGAATTTAAATTTAATATTTTTTTTAAGATAAAATAATTTATTTTTACTCAAAATCAAATAAACTGAATAATGATGTTTTTTTATTTGAAAAAAGAATAACACAAACATCTAAGGGTTGTTTAGATGTATTTTATACAAATTTTTACAACTAATTAATTTATTAAACAATAATATTGTATTTAATATTTCATGCATTATTTAAGTTTATATATATTTATTTTTTTCTTTTCATTAAAAAAAATTCTTATCTCTTTTTTAGTGTATTTTTTATTATTAAACTAAAAAATTATTATTATTATTATCTACTTTTATGAAAATTCATTTCCAAACCATTTGAGTATGAATTTGAACGACGAAAAATGTATTAATTTGTTGTCTAAAGTCTTATAGGAGTATATAATTTTACTTTAAAATATTAAAAATAAGAATAAAAAGCAAAAATAAAAGTGTAAGTGAACAAATTCAAATTAAATTATACTATTTTCATCCGATAAAATTATGAAACTTTAGGGAAATTTTTATTCATTTTTTCATTTTTTTTTATGTAACTTTATTACATAAATCATACCAAGTGTATATACAAAATACTTTTTCCGTCCATAAATAATTAACGTATTTATTCTACAATTGAAGCAATATATATATTTATCGATTGTATTTTCAGTGATATTTAAATTAATTAACACATTTTTATACATTATCTAGCATACATAAAATACTAACACTATGTAACAAATATGTACAGATAATAGAGACAAGACTGATGTTTATTTACTTCTATATATAAATACAATCCTATTTTGGTGATTTTATTTTATTTTTAGAATAGAGATTTAAATATTACATTTGATAAGAGATAATATTTACAATCTATTCATTTTTTTTTATTTTGATCTGTCTCGTAACAAAGTATTAATTTTTTTATTTTTTTTAGTAATTGTACTATTTACCTAATATTACAAATAATCTTCCAATTTACAATATATTATCATTACCTTTATATCATACAATTTTAATAGGGTTAATTTAGTCTTTTTACCTTTATTTATATTTTATCCAAATATAATACTAATATTTCTAAAACTCCGTACAGAAAACAAATTGATATATAGATACAGGACGGAGGGAGTATATAGTAAATATAAAATATGTAAAATAAATAATCGTGAAGTAATTACAAAACCCTAAGTATAATTTTCTCCTCGATTCACTATTATTTTCCATTTCTAGTTTTAAATGAAAGTCAATCCAAATATATTACTTTCTCCGTTCGTAAATTATATAGGTTTGTTTGGACACAAAAACTAATAAATAATACTCCCTCCGTCCTACATCATTTGTCCGTATTTTCTATTTTAATCTTTTTCACATAACTTGTCTTTTCTATTTTGGAAATATAATTATACACTTTAATCACCTTTTACATTTTTATTTTATAATTTTTATAATTATTTTTACCGATACACTTTTTAATTATCTAGTAATTATACTTTACCTAAATTCTTGTATCTACAGTAATAAATCCAAAATATTTGGGACGGAAGGAGTAATATTTTAATACTAGATATTACAAAAAAATTATTAAATGATTGATAAAAAAAATAGTGAAGTAGGAAAAATAATAAAAAAATAATAATTATTTATTAAAATAAATATAATAAAATTGTGATCGAATAAAATTATTTATTATAAATATATTATGCATAAATTTGGACAAAAAAATAGTTATATAATTTGAACGGAGAGAGGAAATACTTTAGATATTTACTAAAACAATGAAATAAGCCTAAAATACTGTTTTTATTAAATGCAAAAATTTTGTTTTCTTATATGAAATTATTACATAATTATAGTTCACTCTATATTAACTCAAAAAATAAAGTAAATATATTTAAATAAATCTTTTGTCAATGAATTATTTTTACATATAAAGGGTGCATTTATACGTTAAGTGTTTTAGTTTGAAATTGTTATTTTATTTTATTTTTTAGTAAGATGTATAAAATTGTGTCAGTAAAATAATATTTTATAGTGAGTGTTACTTTTTTCTTCCGTCTCTAAGGTTACATTTACTTTTTATGTCATTATACTTAATATTAAAAATATTTTTATATTTGTATAATTTTTTGTATATATGTCCTATTAGTATTGTAAGGTACTAACGAAAGTATTTTTAAAATTTATTTTTAATTTGTATTATATTTTGATATAATAATTAATATTCAAATATCAACAAATGAGACCCTTAGAGTCGGACGGAGGAAGTATATTTTTATAAAAAATAACATAGATATTATATACTTCATCCGTCCCATAACAAAGTATTCATTTTTCCATTTTAGTATGTCCCATAACAAAGTATCCATTTCATTTTTTAGTAACTGTACTATCTACCTAACATTACAAATACACTTACAATTTACAATATATTACACAAATGTCAGGACATTTATATCACACATACCAATAAGGTTATTTTAGTCATTTCTACTTTATTCTTACTATATCTCAATATAATACTAATATTTCTAAAACTACGTGCAAAAAGCAAATGGATATTTAGTTTCGGGAGGGAGGGAGTATATTGGAGTAATAAATTTTGAGTAAAAAGTTTCTGTAGGCTCTATTTACTTGATAATTTATTTTTTTTCAAAATTTAATGCAATCTTCATGATTTTTTCTATAAAAAAAATATAATAAATTTTTATATAAAATATGATATTCAATAAACCATCTAAAATAATAATTATAATAATAAAACAAAAAAGCAATTAATAAAAAAAAAAAAAGTAGACGTAGAAATTTGGTTAGAATTTAAAAAAAAGAGGCTACAGGATTAATTGAAGAAGAACTAAAGGGATCGGCTATGCGACAGTGACTTAAAAAAAATATCGCACGTGTTTAATTTCTGCCCTTTATTTTTTATATTATTTAAAATTTATAAGAAAATATATGAGTAAAAATATGATTGTCACGGGGTCGCAATCAATTAGTAATTGTTGAGCACATATTTGATAGTAGTATTATTTATTTCTTATAAAATCTCATATATTATTTATTTCAAATGTAATTTCTAAGTCACAATCAAATAATTATATATATTTATTCCAAGGATATTATATTTTCCGATACCTAACACATTGTATCGAACTAATATAGCATCTATTCTATTTTTTTTATGTCGTACCCGAAAGTGCGCACCGAGTAAACACTAGGACCTGAAGCGGCGGCGGTG